GACCTCCGTACCAGTTTGTCCATCCTGTTCCTGTCCCTTTTGGTACATCCAGCCCCCCAGCAGACCACTCCATAGAAAAGGGCAGATGCTACCACCGTGTCGTGGAATGGTTTTAACAGAGTCCTGCAGACACCGAAGGGCCTCAGTCTCCTCAGTAGGTGGAGTCGACTCTGGCCCTTCTTATACAGGACGTCTGTGTTTGTAGTCCAGYCCAGYTHGTTGTTGAGGTGAACACCCAGGTACTTGTAAGAGTCCACTGTCTCAATGTCTTTTCCCTGGATGTTCACTGGTGCTGTTGGGCGTGGCTTCCTCCTGAGGTCTATGACCATCTCCTTCGTCTTGCTGGCATTGGTTTGGAGAGTGTTGTTCTCACACCAGCCAACAAAGTCACTGATGACCCCCTGTACTCCTCATCATGCCTGTCTGATATGCATCCAATGATGGCCGTATCATCCGAGAACTTCTGTAGGTGGCAGTGGTCCGAGTTGTACCTGAAGTCTTTGTCTGAAGTTTTTACCTGAAACTTTGTCTTATTCCTTTTAGTTTTTGAGGTCCAGATTTAATAAACTACTGCACAGGTTTAGGATAAAAAGCTACTTATTCAACTAGCTTATAAAAGGAAAAAATTGTGTTGTATTCGGAGGCCTACCTTGTATGTGTGGGAAGTTTGTGAGGTACAGAAAGCCAGTCAGCAGGGTGTTGGAGGTGGTGTCCGTCCCTCCAAGATAAAGATCAAAAGTGATTCTTCTGAGCTGTTCCTCAGAGAAGGAAGAATCGTCTTTCTGAAAAAAATACGGCAAAATAGAAACTATTTCTTTTCATGAAACTTTGGTTTTTATTTTATCAGGCATCTGATTTAAGTCAACATTTTGGTTCCACACCTTCTCCAGTTCATCCAGGTAGCAATCCACAAAATCCTGTGGCTCTCCTGGGGTTCTGCTCTTCTTGTGCTCATTCACAAAATGGGTCGATAAATTCAGAAAAATCTAAAATGCACAGAACTAACTGATGGTTAAGCTGAGAATTGATGATATTAGTTCATGTCTTGCATTTTCAACATTACCTCCATGTTTTTAAAGGCCTTGCTGAAGGGAAGTGGCAGTTTTCGTACCAAAGGTACAGAATCATACAGCTGGGAAGAGATTATCATTATCATCATTACTGCAGATTATATAAACTTTTAACTTTTTACAGTGGTTTGCAAAAGTATTCATACCCCTTGAACTTTTCCATATTTTGTCACATTACAACCACAAACATAAATATATTTCACTGGAATTTAATGNGAAAATTGAAGGTTTAAAGAAGACCATTGATTTTGCTTGTGCAGAAATAAAAAGTATGAAAGAAAAAAGCTCCACCGTAGAAAAGAAAGCTGGCTCAGAGGAAAAATGCACAAATGAATGCCTGCAAAGTATCTGTGATCTGGAGAGATACTCCAGGCGATGGAACTCAAGACTCTGTGGAGTTACTGAGACAGAAAGGGAAAATATACGAGCCAAAGTCATTGAGATCTGTCAAGATGTCCTACCAGAACAGAAGACCGCCTCGGCCTCAAGCATCCATCTGATCCCAAGCCTAGAGGAATAATCTCACAGTTCTCCACACGTGTGTGCAGAGATGCTGTGTGGAAAGCAGCCAAGTTCTCTCGAGTGCTACATGGTAATGGTCTGAAGTTTGCTGAGGATCTCTCAAAAGAAGACAGAGAACACAGGAACAAACTGAGGCCACTGGTCGAGAAGGCCAGAAAAGAGGGTAAAACAGCACACTTTATCAGAGGTCGTGCTTTTGTTAACGGCACTGAAATTAACCCATCTCCCAGCTGGTATAGCTCATCATTATCTTAGGCTGCATCTCCTTTGTTCTTGAGTGAAGTAGCCTACTGCTCTACCTATTTTAAGGCTGGACACTTTAGGTATTGGAAGGAGATTTTTTGATGCAAAGTTCTATGATGTTACTTAACCCTGGTTTTAAATTTATAACTCTGCGGCTGTTGGTTACCTGTAGAGTTGTTTAATCCTTTATTCAAGTGGTTATTTCTTATTTAAGTTATTTTTTTTGTTTTGTTTTCTGAGTTACTATAGTTTCTCTTAATGACAGGGGTTTGATACAGAACTACAAGTGTAAAGCTTTATTTTTATTTGCTAAACAAACTTATTTTATATTTCTCCAAGTATCACACTTTTTACCAGATGACTTAAAGTTTTGGAGGGCACAATGGGGCAAAGAAATGTGGTTATCCCAGGGTACAGAGCGTTCAGCAGGTGTCAGCTATACATGCCTTTAATGGAGAGACACTCAGAATCGGACCCTGCGGGACACCATATTTTTCAGGTGATTGAAAGAAGACTGAACGTTGCCCAGCAGCAGTGGTTACGACGGATCCTGTGAGTTTCAAACCAGGACCACATCCCTAACGAGGAGATCCATCACAGAACAGCCACCCGTCCACTGAACAACATTGTGACAGAGCACAGACTAAGATTTGCTGGACATGTCCTCTGTCAGAAAACAACACGTCTACCGAAAACCACCATCCAGTGGATACCACCATTGGGGAAGAGGAAACAAGGGCGTCCGACAGAATTGGCGCTGTACCTTCTACGAAGACCTCAAGGTCCTGGACTGGACTTTGGTCTGGTCTCTGAAGGTTCTGTTTCTGAACTTTGATTCTTTCTGACCAAAGTGAGCGAGGACATCAAATACACAAACAACTGATAAAAAACCAGGAAGTTAAATCTAACGGGGTGAATCTTCAACTACTTTTAAATATCTGGTATTGTTTTATCTTTTTTTATTTTACAGTTTAGTAAAGAATAACGCTCTTTGGTTTACATTTATTTATATGTTTGACTTATTAACCTGCAGATTTACACAGATCACATTTCAGTGTTGGGTTTCAAGCAATAATTAAAGTAGACACAGCACAGCGGTAACACAATGACCCCCGCACGCACAAATGCACCAGAACTCAGAAGTCTTTATTTCTAATAAATGTCATGCTACTAGGTGCTTCACAAAATTGTAGTGGTTTGGGTGAGGGTCTTTTTTGGGGGGAGGGGGGCACATTGGTGCTCCTATGTTGAACAGTTTCTGAGTTATAATCATTTTTGCATGTCCAGACACCCCCTCTTTGAAAGGAGCCCCCTCCTCAAATATGGGGTCTATTGTAAAACCGTTGGCTGGCGCAGTGTAGGTCAGACTCATCTACAGTCCTGCCAAATTTCATGTTGATTGGTGCAGCCGTTTTTGTGCTACGGTTGACCAAAAATCATGGAAAATAAAACAGTACGAAAACAACGCGACTCCCGCTTACATTTCACGTGCGGGGGTCATAATTATAAAGGATATCATTTATTTTGTATTTTCTTTATCATCACATTTTCAACATTCAAAACACTGGATTTATTTTGTACAAGTAAAAATACGTATTTAATGTGTTCTTCTCTAACAAGACATTTACGATGAATACAAATATTTTATTAAATCTTTCAAACTGACAGAATAATGGACTCGACACACGAGGGGCAACGTCACTCTCTCTCCACACATTTTCTATGGAGCTTGTGTGATGAGGCGACAATCACAGCGAAGCGACCAGCAAAAATCGTGCATGTGAAAATTCGCACTTGTACACATAGATGTGCACAAACAAGCTTACGACGCAACACATGAAAATGGAAAAATGACCAACTTTTGTCGCTGTTACATGGTGTTACAAACAATCAGTGAGGGTTTCATTGACTGATCAATGAGAGGAGAGTATGCTACACACTGCTGTTAGCTAACACTTTCAACAATATTTTTGCTCCGTCAAACTTTCCAATTTTATAAGACACTTCTTGAAGAGATTACAAAAAAGGAGCCATATGGGAATTTGTTGGTGCCAGAGTAAAGTTGTCCAGTAAGTTTTTCCTCATAAAATCTTATCTTGGTGTGCGTTTGTTTTTCAGTATCATTATCATCGCAAGATTTGTTTAGTACACATCTGTAATGCACACCATTCTTTTTATCTCTCCTGACAACCACCAAGAGGCAGTAGAAGAACCAATCAAATTTCGTGAAGACAAGCAACCCGATCAAGAGCGCAACTCACAACGCTGATGTCGCTATCACGCCCTGTGTGTTGGGCTTCACCCCGGTTGTGATGACAGCAGTTAATCGCTGTCATTTCTCACTCCCTGTGTGTCGAGCCCAATACTGATTAGAAAAAGTCCTGAAGAAGGTTTAAAAGAAACCACTTTGAGTTCTTTCATCAGTTTCTGCAGAGCGTCTGCACCTCCTCACTGTTCAGACCTCAGCTGGACCTTCATCCTGTAAGGTTTTGGAGTCAAAATTGCTCCAAAAACTGGAGTGAAGTCTGGTTCTCCAGCATCCTCGGGCCAGATGAACTTAAACTTCCTCAGCAGGGTCACCGTCATGAGGAACAGCTCCATACGAGCCAGACCCTCTCCCAGACACATCCGAGGACCTGAGACACCAGAAAAGGTCATTTCTAGCTGTTTGGTTTCAGTCTCTTTGTTTGATGTGAGTTTACCTGCAGAGAAAGGCATGAAGGCCTCTGGTTTGACAAACTCTCCCTGCTCGTTCAGGAAGTTCTCAGGATTGAACTCGTGAGGGAACTTCCACTGACCCTCCTCATTCAGCACTGAGTCCAGGTTAAGAATAACCATTGTACCCTGAAGGCAACCCCCCAAAATAAGACCATAAAATAAAATTTTTCTCATTTCTTGATGCATTTGGTTGCCAAAGACTTTCCTCTACCTTGGGAATGTCATACCCCAGCAGCTCTGTGTCTTTAGTTGTGCAATGGAAGGTGCTGAGTGGAAGAATGTTGGCAACCCTCTGGACTTCATGGATCACAGCCTGGATGCAGAGAAACATTTTAAACTGCACCTGTCTCGACCTCAAAGGAACGAAAGTATAAAACTATAAAAGCTGCAATTTACTTCTCAGAAACACAACATTCAGGACAATGATCTAAATATTGACTTGTGTTCCTCTACAAAAAACTCTAAAACCATTAAAATCATAATCACCTGTACGTAAGGCATGTTGTGTCTGTCCTCAAAACTGACCCGATCCCTTCCATCCAGAACCTGATCGATCTCCTGCTGACATCGCTCTGATGGGACAGAAAAAAGAAAAACTACACTGAAAATGGGTGAAACAATGCAGACCTATACAATTTAAGTTTATAAGACATCCTCATGTAGAAACATGTCCATGTTTAGATTCTAATTCATCTAGAGTTAAATTTCCAGGGAAGGTTGGAGACATTGAATCCATCTCTTACTTGAGAGGGAAGTTTGAGTATAATTGAGTAAACTTAAGATAAGATAAGATAAAACTTTATTGATCCCACATTTGCACATTACAGCAGCTCAAAACAGGACAGGGTGAGATAGAATAAAGAAAGATGAGTAAAAGAAAAACAAAAAACTATACTCGCGACATATAACAATGTACATATATCTAGTACAGTACATAATGAATATATATGCAGGTGCATATTACTGATGCCAGTGAAGGTGAATTGTCCAAGTGACTGATGACATCATAATGTGTTATACAGTCTGACTGATGACATCATGATGTGTTATACAGTCTGACTGATGATATCATGATGTGTTATACAGTCTGACTGATGACATCATGATGTGTTATACAGTCTGACTGATGACATAATGTGTTATACAGTCTAACTGATGATATCATGATGTGTTATACAGTCTAACTGATGACATCATGTGTTATACAGTCTAACTGATGACATCATGATNTCCAGTGAAATATATTTATGTTTGTGGTTGTAATGTGACAAAATATGGAAAAGTTCAAGGGGTATGAATACTTTTGCAAACCACTGTAAATACAGAATATCACCATACCATGGCCCAAGGCCCGTTGACCATTTTATTCAACTCTGTGAAACACCGGACAACCACTCTGATGGTCTCATCATCGTACTCATAACGGGTCCCAAACAGAACCTTACAGATGATGTTTGAGGCTGCGTAATGAAACATCACCTGAGGACTCAGAGTTTTACCTGTAAACAATAAGAAAAAGATGAGAACATCACACCAACAGCAGAGTCCAGAGTTTAATTAATTTCATACAGATTACGTACCGACACTCTTTTCTAGTGTTTTAACTGTGAACTGAATCTCTTCATGAATTCTCTCCTCCATGGATTTCTTCCCCAGACCTAAGTTTCTCAGAGTCATTAGAGAGAAACGACGATGGTCCCTCCAAACAGGCCCGTAATCCACCAGAATCACTCCTGAAACCAGCCGAGCAAAGAAAAAAAGGAACGCTTTAAAACCAAACCCTCCACTCAGTGTTTGTGGACATACAGTACCGAGATCAGAGGGTCCAGTAAACTGATGTGTTTACACAGAAAAAGTAATTAGTCTGACCATCCTGCAAAGTGACTCATCTCAGCCTCATTTATCCAGCATCTGGTTCTTTCAGTCATAATCCAAACTTCATGACCGCATGGTTTGAACACAGACCAGTAAACTAAGTGTAACCTCTATAATGGTTTTCTGTTTTAAATAACTGAATTTCAAAGTCTAGGTTCTGAAGGAGCCCACCACAACACTGGATGCCATTGACCACAAAAACAAGGTTTTAAGGGAGAAAGTTTAACTGTACTGAAGTCAAAAACAAACAAATAAATAAATCAATACAATTTGTTAAATGCTGGTGAAGATTCTCAGTTATCCAGGTCATGATCAATCAAAAAAAGTGTTAAAAACAAAACAACAGGACTTTCAGTTCTAAAGTTGAAGACGTTTCGCTTCCCATCCAGGAAGACCTTTGAACTCGAACTGTCTGGGTG